ATCTCTGCTATGTATCTTTTTAATATAAAATAATATGTTGTTACAAAACCCCCCATTGAACCTAAATAAATGATGGATGGATAGATGGGCAAATATAACTGTTAATAGATAAATATGTCTCAGAAATGCCCCAGAAAGTATGAAAAACTGATCAACATCAGCGTGATACATTAGGACTAACATGTTACATTGTAACAGATGGTAGACATTAAATAAGATTATTCATTACTCACATAGTTCTTGAGGTCTGATTATTTTCAGTCTCCCCACTCTATGTGAGATTTAAAGCTACGTAAACAGAAGAAGTTATCATATAAGCACTGAATTATGGAAAAGGACGGAAGAAGTACAGTAGAGGATTGCACTGGCGGGGGACTGTGTGAGGGGCCTCTGGTGGCCCCACAGCGGACGTGTGAGCACAACCTGTCTCGGTACTTTTTCAGGGTAGCAACATTGAACTGCATATGTTGATCTCTATGAAAAATAAGGGTATGTGTGTCAAAGATCTTCTCTTAGGGATACAGAATGCAATTTGTCTGGTTAGAAGTGATTTTGGGGGTGAAAGAAAGATGAATGACTGTAGAATAAAATTGGCAAGCGGTTGCCGATCCCAAGGATGATTTGAATCCTAACATTTTTAGCATAAGATAATTCCTCTGTCAGATAGGAGCTCAGAGTAACCTTGACTACAGTCCAATTATAGATAGAAAAGAATGAAGTAGACTTTTTCTTTTTACTCAACTCCTTTAGTGAAATTTTTCATGTGCTGGCCAAGATTTTTAAATTATTTAGTCAACTCAGTTTTGTCAGAGGATTTATATCCCATACAAAGTTGTCTAAGTTGTCTCACAAAAATCACATGCATTTAGAGATGAACACATTTTTGTTTCTGTAAAATGAGTGCATATTATATGTATATATATATATGTATATATACTCAAATAATTTTGCATATATAAAATTTTTCTCAAAAGCTAATCTAATGCATCATAGAATTTCTTTGGAAGAAGTAACTTGCAACATTAGCTTACATTTTCTTTTTTCAAATTCACTAATTGAAATGCATTTATATTGTACAAAATAGGATCGAAAAATAGGGTAATTTAAATTTAGAAAAAAATTCCATTACTGTAAATGGCACATTGCTATGAATCCCCACTGATACATCTTTCACACTTGAAACACACTTACTTCATCATTCGTGCCACTTTCTGAAGCAGTTCTAGAAATCTTCTTTTGTGTCTTTGATTGAGCTCTTGTGGGTGCCTGTATATCCTGAATTAATTCAGGTATTTACCGGGTGTGATCATTTGGCTTTGGAGAAGAGCCGGAAGGCCCAGGGTACCACATCCACCGACCGGGATCGGCGAGGACGCGCCGTGAGGTTTTTCCAGGCCTCCCTTTCCGTCGTGTGCCACAGGCAGCAGCATTCGCTGTATTTTTTAATATACCTTGGAAAGGCACTCATGAGAGAAGATCTCTAGAACTGCTTCCAAAAGTGTCAAGAAAGATGAGATTGTTCAAAATAAGGAGGAAAAAAGGCTATTTCATTCAGTGTAAACAAATTCCTTAAATTTAAACATTAAGGATGTCTATCAGACTTCATAAGTTATAAAGAAGTATTAAACAGTTACGCACTTCTTTAGTTATACAAATGCACTGTGTGCATTTTCAGACTTGTAACCTCTGCCTTGTTATACACTATTTCTAAAATAGTAATTTCTATCTTTGTCTCCAACATTAATGTAAAGCTTACTATAAATTTATACTACTTTACTCTATATTCTATACCAATATCACTCCCTACAGTTTATTTTAAAAATTGCTTCTCACAGATTTGGTGATGTTAACGATGAATATTTTTAGGAAGAGTAAATTCTTTTCCTAATCGTTGTATTACAGTGAGCACACACTGTATCACTCTGAGCACACATTTTACCCATTCAGTACTTCACAGACTTTATTTATTTATTTATTATTTTTACTTGTTTGAAGTAGATCCTTTCCTTTTAGTATATATTCTTTTCAAATACATAATAAAAATAAGTCTTCCAAAGAGACACATAACAAATTTTAAAAGCACCAACATTGTATTTAGGAGAATATATAGTAAAATGTTCTAGTTAGTTATTTTGAAACTTTTTGATCTTAGTTGCTTCTCAAGCTCAAATTTTTTTAAAAAATTTAAACTATATATTTGGATAGGTGAACAGACAGGTGGACAGAAAAGATATAAGTAAATATTAGGTGTGTCTATACATAGGTAAAACAAATAATGTGTCTTTAAAATATACATCTGTGTACATACCTACATATACATATTCAAGTAGTTCTGTGTAGCTATACTAAATGCTCACACTTCTGTTGTGTGTGTGATTTATCTAAAAATCATAAATTTCTACATGTGTCTATAAGCTACTTAAGAAACTCTTTAAAATAGTCTTCTATAAACAGTACTAGAATCATGTTCCTCCATATATAGGAGTCTGTTTTCAGTACGGTAGCATAGCTTTTCTTAAATTATGTCCTAGGACATGTAATAGCAGAAAGGAACGGGATCATATTCACTTTGCAGAGTACATACTGTACCTACCACTTCCCTTGTACAAGGTAATTAGCCCATTGTGTGTTCCAGGCAGCAGCCTACGGAATTTTGCTTAGCTTGTTTATACTATCATTTCACAACCATCTGGAACAGCCTTCTCTCAACTCACATAGAAGCATTCCCAGGACCAAGGCTTTATTTCTAAGTAGTTTTAGAAATAGTACTCCAGGGGCTGGGGATTTAGCTCAGCGGCATAAGCACCTGCCTTGCAAGCAGGTGGTCATGAGTTCGATCCCTGGTACCGATAAAAAAGAAACAGACAAAAAAAAAAAAAAAAAGAAAGAAAGAAAAAAGAAATAGTACTCCAAAAGAAAATTAGATAAAAGTTGAAGAATTGTCCAAATTATTAGAATCTATTCTACTTATGTGGTAACAACATGCTCTAATATTTCACAAAATAAATCATTTTTATTTATGTATCAAAAGACATGCTGACCAGGAAATCAATAACATTTGGACTGGCAGTGAGTTACTCTTTTTCACTCAGTTTTCTTTTTTTTTTTTTAAATAAGTCAAGGATACTGGTTGTACATATCTACATATACATATACATATACATATACATATACATATACATATACATCATGGATGGGTGGTAGGTATATCTCCCAGAAAGAGCATGGCCAATGGTGTTTTTTATAACTAACTGAAGATGCTTAAGGTATTGTTTACCTTTCCCTGTATATGAAGTGATGAGATGTTTGCTAAGCTAGAGAAATATATTAAATTCCTTTTCCCTCCCTGATGTCCTGTTTACGCATGCTCCTCGTTTTGTGCGGGGAGAGGAGGATAATACTGTGGGAAGAGCTAGCCCATTATTTTGGCCCCAGCCATTCCCTTTATAGCAAGTACTGTCTGATCAACTCAAACTCTGACATGTGATTCTTGGCATGGTGTTTTGACATCATGACGATATGTGTAGCGAGCATGTGTTTGTTTTGCTTTGCACCTCAATATTTACATATTTCATGGGGAGGCAATTACAGTGGCAGAAATCAAATTTAGAGAGTCAGAAGCCAAATGATTCCTGAGGAATAAGCAGGACTTTTTTGCTGAAGAGGCTCATTCCCGAGGTCTCTCAGGGGCTGTACATTTTCAAAGCTTAGAGAAATCAAATCTCTGTATGGAAAGATTGTCAGTTTTTTCCTTTCCTCGTTGATGTCATTACGGTTGCTATGGAAAAGAAATGAGTGCTGCTCAACATTGCTGGAAAAGTCCACACTGACGTATTTCTGGAGAGCAAACAATTCACCTCATCGTTCGTTTTTTATCATGTAGGGTTACTAAAAATGGTCAGAACTTGTAACAAATGCGGAAATGTTCCTTTGCCAGAAAAACTTCATCATTTGCGTCTTCTGAAGGTGTACATAAATCCTTCTAATAACAGTAAAGAGCCTGAAGTACATAGTGACCCATGTGAACTGAGGCAGGAGAAAATGTGCTTTGTAAGCTGTTAGGCATTCCTATTACTTGGAACATTTTTGTTAGAAAAGTCTGTTCCAGTGTAAAATGTATTTTCAACATTTTTTAGTAGTTTGTTTTTCCACCATACAGCACTCCGCAGTCAGACCTGAGCCCTGAGAAGGGATCAGTACTGATTTGGGTCTGGATCATTTCTGAAGCATTCTTTTTTTCCCCTCTGGTATCAAAGCCTGACTGCAACACCAGTTCCCTTATGATGCCTTCCCTTGACACCTAATTCCTGATTTGTGTGACTGTGAAGGATGTCTAAACAAGATCAGCCAAAAACAAGGCTCATGATTCTTTGTGTCAAGTAGAAAATGCATTTTTTAAAGACTTGTCATAATAAATGATATCCCTTTAGATACATTCCAAATATTACCATTATGTAAATAATTAAGATTATTGAAAAGGAGAGTAACTGTCCAGAAACTGTCCACTCTACAAGTTTTACAAAATGAAAGAACTAAAGAATAGAAGAGTTTAGCCATAGTAGTGCATACTGGTAATTCCAATACTTGGGAGGCTGAGGCAGGAGGATTGCCTCAAGTTTGAGGCCACTCTAGGTTACATAGTGAGTTCAAGGCCACCCTGAATTATACAGAAAGACCTTTTTAAAAAAAGACAGGAGAGTTTAGAAAAGAAACAAAATATATCTCAGTGACTTCAGCACCATTTCCATTTGTGGTATTTGGTGATATCTGTGGAGTAACTTCAAACTGCTACTCCCTTGTTGGGTAGAAATATGCCTGTGACTGTGTGCTTTTGATGTTGAAAACCAATTCATTTTAATGAAAGCTGTAAAATAGATGCACAGTGTTTCCACCTTCGAATCTGTTGCTGGCAGATTTACAGATCGCATTTTTCTTGTATTAAGACTGTGTTCAGTGTGAACGGCTGATTTGTTGTGTCTGATTTTTTTCTTTGCCTGCAGTGGCACGTCTAGTGATGAAATGTGCAACTTATACATTATGTATTACATGGAAGCCAAGCATGCGGTTTCCTTTATGACTTGCACACAGAATGTGGCCCCAGATGTGTTCAGAACTATTCCACCGGAGGCCAATATTCCAATCCCTGTGAAGCCCGATATGGTTATGATGCACGGACATCACAAAGGTGAGATCAGTGCCTGCTGGAAATAGCGTAATTTTGTGTTTTCTTGTGTCCCACTTGCTGTTATTCTCTCATTCTCTCTTTCAAGTACTTTCTCCTTTCCCTGATTAGCCCCATCAAAATAGCTAGAGGTACATCTCAACTGAGGATGAAACAGATTTGGAGACCAGGCCTATAAATCCTTTCTTCGTTTAATTTGTGTTTTCCATTATTGTTTGTTTTGTTTCATTTTTATCTTCATGGTGGCTATGCAGGTCAGGCTGACCTCAAACTTGCAGCAGTCCTCCTGCCTCAGCCTCCTACATTCTGGGATTACAGGCATGTGCCACCATGCCCGGCCTAATCTGTGTTTTCCGATTTCCTCATGTTATTCCTCTCATATCTAGTAATGATATACACAGTTTAGAAATTTATAAATTGTACCATATTCTAACAGTGCTACAATTTGGTGCTGAAAATGGTTATCCTCTCCAGCCACACCCTAAATTATCTCTTTAATGGGTCTCTTCAAGTACAAAATAATTCCAGACATTATTAACTTTACCTTCTTTTGGTCTCTTTCTCACAATTATTCTTTAACTTATTGGTCATTTGCAGATTGCTTGTGTTGAGTGTCATTTCTTTACCTTAATATTACAGGACGCACATCCTGGGGTTCTTTTGTTGTTTTTTGTTTGTTGGTTGGTTTGTTTTTGAGTGAACTATGCTAAGATTTTATTGAGTTTGCAAATTTAATATTAAAACACCAGAGCAGCTTCTTATGTCTTTCTAGTGGAGATTTTACGGAAGACGATAGCAGAGTAGTCACATAGTTTATTAAGATGCTAATGTATGTATAGAATATACTGTCTAGTGCTCTTAAAGTATCATTAAAATGCTACTAAATTCAATAGAAAAGCAAACGTGGTTTTGTTAGAACATTTAAGAGTTATATAGCATTTATATATTACCTAAAATATGGTGGACCTACTTATTATGTTACAAGTCTAATCATTGATAGCCATGCTGGGATTGGGTAAAAGTAGTGAGTTAACAGCATTTCTACCATATAAATTGTTAATATTATAACAAACAAAAGATCCTGACTCATATTTTTATATCGATGGCTTAACTCCAATAAACTACTTAAAGTGTATAATACATACTGCAAATTTATGTGCAATTTCTTTGATCTCTTATAGAAACTGAGAACAAAGATAAGATAGCTTTACCACAACAACCAAAAAGAGAAGAAGAAGAAGTGTTAGACCAGGGTAAGTATGATTATTTCTCCAACTAGGCCTGTAATAGTATTCATTATCTGAGCAGGCAACCAAATTGTAAAGTTATGGCACAGATTTTAAATTTCATCGTATGAGCCTCACACCCTATTATTGCTGTTTTTATATAATGCATAATGCATGAAGAAATGGTCAGTTATTGCACTTGGCTTTGAAAGTAGAATTTGTTAATATAATTTAGTCCCATTAGGTTTTTCTGTCTTTATTTAGTTCATTTAATAATGTAACTTTTATGTATGCTATAGATAAGTGTAAATATAATCATGAAAAACTATCAAAGCTGCTTTTGAAATCTAATAACCTTTGGTATTTAAATTCTTGTGTATTTTGTGTGGATTTTTTTAACTGTATTTGAGGCTCAAGAGAAAAGAAATTAAGAATTAAACCTGCATCTTGTCTCTCCTCCGCCTTCAGCAAGGTAGGAGGGATCACTGTCCTATGCAGCCATAATTCTGTGTTAAATTGTAGCCCACTGAGTGACAGAGTCACTGCTCTTCTGTTCTATTAAGCAGGAAATGTTTGATGCACTTATAGTGTATACTGCATGTGCTGAAGATCTGCTCGTTTTCTAAATCTTGGTTTCTTGCCAGTTGTTTGAAAGATAGGACTCTGAGTTAGGTGTAGGGGTGTATTATCCTATCAAGTCATTTTTAGCCTAAGTTTGATCTGTTTGTAAGTATTAGGAGGTTAATGTGATTGCAAATACACATCTACTGATCACATAGAGAGTTTTTCTGCTGTTAATCAATAGAAGTTTCACAATACCTCACCAAAGCTATTTCAGTGGTTAGTCTGTGTATTAAACTGCTGGTCCCTAGAGACCAACAGCCTAGACTTTAAAGAAAAATGCAGAAACACAGCAAATGCCAGTTGTATAGATACTTCATTTGCTACACTAATAAGATCAATCTATCTCCGTACAATACCTGGGATGAATCTACTCATTACTGAAAGAATATTCCATTCTTCTCTCATTTCTTTGCACAGAATGCCTATTTATATTCATTCTCTGGAAAGTCAAATTAACCAAGAAGCTAACAAGCAGGCTCTAATTATTCAAATACATTATCTGACGTATGTTAATTTTTAAACTACGCCCTCAGACTTAATCCATTACCTTATTTTGGTATTCTAGACAAAACAGCATGTGGGCAACTGTACCTCCAGATTACATTAATTTTTTAAAAATATTGTAACCCAATAAATAAAAATCCCAAATTATTTCAGTGATACTAACCAAAAACTAGAAGACGACCATCTGTACTAATACCACCAAAGATGTCAGAATCTGATAGAAAGCAGAACAGGTGTAAGGCAAGAAGAAGAAAGCATCAGATAACATGTACTCAAAGGCAAACTCTGTACCCAGCAGTGGATACAGAGTGTTCTACAAATGGTATAGTTTTTATTTTATAATATATATAAATATGTTTTTATAATTATAGCATACATGTATAAGATCTTTTACCTTAATAAACTGGCAAACTGGTAGGAAGATAAAGATCAATATATGTAATAAATAGAATGAATAACCTTTACTAAAATTGCAAAAAAACGAGATTGGGGAAAGATGGTCATATTCCACAAACTAAAATAAAGAAGTGCAGTTGTGCACAGATGGAGAGGAAATAGTGTCCCCAATAAAGAGAACAATAATCCAAAGAAACTCAATAATCATTTTAACACAGTTGTATCTTACTGTCTTTGCTTCTCTTGCTTCTGTAGAAGAAAGATCAGTGTTTTATTTTTTCTTTGAAATTCTTACCACTAAAATTGGTAGCTATGAAAAATCTTGCCAGGATATTAATCTTGATTAGAAATTTGTTAGTAATTTGAAAGCTATATGAATTTCTGTAGCATTGCCCCAGCCAGTGCTCATTCACAAACACACTTTTTGTAGTGTCTTTTGTCTACATCTCAGCTCTTTAGAACAAAGTTTGGTATTAGGGACCTGTATCTCAGGCTCCATCTCAAAAGATGTAATTATGAAGATATCAAAGAGGTATTATATGACAATTTTATTCATCAGATCATCCTGGATTATTCTACAGTTGATAACATTTTAGTAAGTCTTTAAGTCTAAAAAAGATTTTTTTAGATGTTTATTTTAACTGACTTTTAAAAATTAACATTCACTTATCAAAAGTAACTATACAGAATGACTAAACAAATAAAAATGATCATTAGTCTCCAGAAATGTATGTATTTAGGTATATCCTTATGTGAAGTATCTATTGTACATAAATTTATGTGTATGTATAAGACACATGTGCACATTATTTTAACAGTTTTTTGAATCATAATGCATGTATGGTTTTGCATTCTCCTTTTAAAACTACTATATCTTGGTAAAAATTATTGGCAAAACTTATTTTTAATGGTTGCATAATTTATGTATATTCCTAAAGTGTAATAGCTTTTTTGTGTACAGGTGAAACTTACCTATATGTAGTTGATTATGTCTGTCTCCATGCAGAAAACCACTGAAAGATACTCATAACAGAAATGCCCCCATCCTTTAAAAATATTTTGAGTGAAGAATTATCTATATAGGTATAAGTAGAATAAGTTAAATAGCAAACTCCATTAGACAATGATTCTGGGTGAAGAAATGAATCTAGGAATATATATGGAATATAGCAGTAGTGTTGAGTTCTTCTGAAACACGCACACACACAATACACACACTCAGATATCCTTCACAGGTGATGTTTTATAAGTTCTTATTTCATAGGCAATATAGGTTTACTATATCAAAAGTAGAATCTGCGCTTTCTATCAACATTGTTTAGACAAATATTGCCAATTACAAGCAACATTGTACACAATCCCATCTAGAAGCTCTGAAATGGAGTTTTTCTGTTGTTTAATACTCAAAGTAGAGATACCACATTGCAATTTATGCCCTTTGTATTGAGAAGACCCAATGTGTGTAAAAATCCAAGACAGAATTCAAATTCAAAATTAACAATACTAGCATGTCCTTGCTATTGTGCATTACGCTCTGACAACATTTCTTTCGCTACAGAAAGAGCCTTTAATGTATTTTATTCAGTTTACTCCAAACCCTTCGCTTTTTAGTCTTTGTGCCCTCACATAATCAATCTTTCTACTCAAAGGTCATCATGAGCTACTATGTTCCCACGCCAGGGAGAAGATGACAAAAATACAATTTGTAGAGGGAAAGCGTTCCATGACCCCAGATAGCTAAAGGTCTTCAGACACCTTCTGTGAAGCAGAATAATTTCACAGTGCTTTTATACTAACAAAAATGAATTACCATTGGCATGTTTTATCACATAAGCAGAATCAAGAGAACAAGGTTGCAAGTTAAAAACACAATAGTATACCATAAAAACATTCTGAAATAACAGTTGGTAACGAATTTGTGGGAAGAAAGAAAAAAAAACAGAACTTAGTAGTTAAAATTTGTATTTCTTGCCTTGTTCAGAATAAAACCCTTAATCTGCTAAAAAATAGTACAAGTGTTTTTTATATTAGCTTAGCTAATTCTAAGCATTCCCAATGATGCTGTGGTACAGTTTTTAAAAAGATACCATTCTTGGTTTTAAATGTATTCACTACAATGTATTGGTTTGTTGTGATTTTTTTTTTTTAATCGGTACTGGGGATCAAACTCACAACCGCCTGCTTGCAAGGCAGGTGCTTATGCCACTGAGCTAAATCCCCAGCCCGGTTTGTTATGATTTATAAGCAACTCATGAGTCTTTACTTACTGAATTCGTCTATCAGATATGGTTCTACCCCCAGGATTCTGGGAAGCTGACGGAAAGGTGTTTTGAATTGATTTCCTAATAATGAAACAGGCAGACGTGAATGCTCATTTGACAACACAGTTGAGCTTTCTGATAAAGATCCTGGTGTAGAAAAAGTTATCTCCTGTCTTCTTCGAAGTAGTATTGTTTTTTCTTTTCTGCAGAAGACAGAAAAGTTCACTTCTGGTTATTTTGCAGTCAGATGAGTTCTAGAAGAGGAAAAAATTATAAAATTCATTTCACTTGTAATCCTTGAATGAAACATCATGATGTGTGTTTTTCTCTATGGCTATAGAGTACTTGCTAGGACTTAGTAATAAGTAAACAATCAGTAAAGCATCATCTTTAATTAGAAGGGAAAGTCAGTTATGACTAAGTCATAAAATACAATATTAAAATCACAAGGGATGCTCTTATTTTTCCATTCTTCACATCCTAATCATTCATCAGTTGTGTTGCAAGGTTCCAATCTCATTAGCTAGGTTTCTTAGCTAGCTGACTTATCTTGTCAGTGGTTTGACTGCTGCACATCCTACTTATTCCTTATGTACCTAGAAATCACAAAGCATCACAAAAGCTGTTTATTTGGGGCAATAAAGTACTAGTGGTTTATGTGGATATTGAAAAAATTTTATTCTGGAAAATTACAAAGACATCTCTGATTATTTTTAAAAGGAAAATGCCTGACACAAAAATTAGACACTTGTTTTTTTTTCATTTAGTGACATTAAAACAGTATATTTATTTAAAGAAAAATAGCTCACAGCATACCTTTCATGGCATATTTCCATTTGTTTTAGTCTATTCTTATCATGATCCTGAAAGTAAAAAGAAATTTCCATATCGGGAACAAGCAACAGCAAATGTTCCATGTGTTAACTAGGAAAATGCCCACTGAGACATAGAGCAGTTAATGCAAACACACAGACACATCTTAGAGTTAGCTGCTAGTGTTTGCCTTTTCATGCACTATGCTGCAATTCTTTTCTCAACATAGTAGGTGCTACACATGTGTGTTTTCCAAATACTAAACTTTCAGTCAAATTACATAACAGGCCACATTCTGTGTTTCATAAGGACATGGAAAGAGGAGGTTAAATCAGATTACTGTACTATAAAACCATCAAACAAAAAATTTTATCGCTACTGATACAAAAGCAAAGACTGACATTTTAACAAGTTATTTTTCTTTCTCGAATTGTTTATTGAAGATCCACTATGATAGGAACAGTACTGATTACTGGGACTATGACGGTGAACAGGAAGGAGAGATTTTTATTTTTCTCACATAAAACCACATTTATATCTTGCAATTTATGACTCTTCAAGGATAATTTAAATGTATAAAAACTGTTTTATAACATTATATAGAACTCGATCATAACAGGGAAGGTATTGTGAAAGTGAGAAGTGAAAACTATTGATGACAACCAAAAATTACTTTTTCATATCAATCACAACCAGTAATTTTTAAACTCAGTTTCATGGAAACAGTTGTGATGTATATATATTGACTAGTTTACAGTCTTCATGTGGACAGATCAAATCAGAAATTTGCCCTAAAAGGAGTAAATTCAGTCCCTGAATTTTAAAAGAAAATACCCACTGTGAGGGAAACAGTATCTTCTCAGAGTGGACATTAAAGAAAGTAGAATTCCAATACGGTTGGAGATAAATTAAAAGACAGAATGTTGAAAGGTGGCCCAGGGTCAGTAACCAACTTCCTCAGTTATATTCTACAGCACTCAATGTAGCAATTTCAAGCAAAAAGTTAGCGTTTCAAGATTTCATCTATCCAGTACAGCAGAAGAAGAAAAAAATCAAAATTACCTGTCTAGTTGGTGCATATGAATGGCAGATGGCCATCTAGTGGTCTCTGTCTCTCACATATGAAGTGTTTGGGTCTGTGTTCTCACAAACTCAGTGCAGCCGGGCCAATTGCATTATTTAACAATGTTTTTCTTTTTTAATCTGATGATAATTTTAAATAATGATTTCAAAGGAACTGGAGTGCTCTACCTTTGGTATTTTAACTCAGCTTTAGATTTTTACTGAAAAGCTAAATGACTGTAAACTTCTCAGCCTGTATTCCTCCAGCAATATTAGCCTAATGGCACCAATTCAAGTATATAAATTGTATTTTTTTGTCTCATTCTTGAAATGATCTTGTATCTTATTCTCCATGTAAGATGTCTCATGGTAGGAATATATAAAACTGTTTGTATTTAGTGCAAGGAACAGAAGAATGTAGGGGTAATGAATTAATTTTTCTTCTGTGAAACACAGTACCACTGTGGCCTAGACAGTTAGGGTTGAATTTTAATTTGCTTTGTTCTTGGTACAGAGATTGGTCTTATTACCTGGTAATTATGTCTTAATTAAATATTTCACCTGGGATAAATTGAAAATCTACTTTTGTACAATTTGTAAACATGACAGAATCACTTAGCATCGTTTTGGAAAAATTTCTTATCCCCCTACAGTCTCTTAACCCATCTCTCTGCAGTAGAATGTATCATATTTAAACTAACTATCATTTATTTTCACGTCCTAACAGCCAAGAATAAAGATCTTTAAATGTTATCTGATGGTTGCATAAATGTAATTAAAATGTGGACAGTCAGGGTACATAGTCATGAGTATTTTCTTCATTAGCGGCAGTTAGATTGGGTGAGAAACAGAAGAAGTAGGCGTCTCTATTAGAGTGATTGTTTCCCATTCATACAGTTGATATGAAAGAATTTAAACCACAGATGTAAGTGGTAAAGATTAATATGTTTCCTGAATTTTCTGTAGTTGTATTTTGTGTCTGTGATCATGTTTTATAAGTAATTTAATTTCATAGAGTTGGATTATTATCACTTTAATATACACAAGAGCATAAAATTCACTTCATAATGAATCATTCTAATGGTCTGAGTTTGTTAAAATCTTCTTTGTTTTGAACTGATTTAAAATTAGTCTTAGCTCACAAAGTTATTCTGGAAATTGTTTATTTCTTTAAGAGCAACAACTAGAATTATTTATAATAGCATTACTAACATAATAATGAGGCTTTGGCTTTACAGTTACCAAAAGGATATATCACTGATAGATGTATTATTTTTCATTGGATTGGCCTAAAATAAATATGTAAACTCATACTCTTTAATAGGTTTTTAAAAAAACAACTTCAAAGAGTTTGCCTGTGAAGATAGCTTTTCTCTAATGTAGCTGTTGATATTTTATTTTAAAATTTTTAGGAGCTCTCAATTTCCATATTGTGAAAGCCATTTGTTGAAATATTCCATGCTATCACATATGAACTATTTTATTTCTACTAACATTAAAATAGTCAATATGTGAACTCATGAAATAATACAAATAGATTTGTGGTATATAAAATGAAAAGAACAAGTATATTATTCTCACACTGTTCTGGGAATTTTTCTTTTCTTTTTCCTGTGCTTGAACATCTGTCTTTCACTTACTGTGAAGAATCAAAAATGATATATTTGAGGCACTAAACTTTATAAATTTTGTGATCTCATCAACCCTCCATCTCTTTATCTCTTCTCTTTTTCTACAGGTGATTTCTATTCACTACTTTCCAAGCTGCTAGGAGAAAGGGAAGATGTTGTTCATGTGCACAAATATAACCCTACAGAAAAGGCAGAATCAGAGTCAGACCTGGTAGCTGAGATTGCAAACGTAGTCCAGAAAAAGGATCTTGGTCACTCTGATGTCAGAGAGGGTGCAGAACATGAGGAGAGGGGCAATGCTATTCTTGTCAGAGACAGAATTCACAAATTCCACAGACTAGAGTCTACTTTAAGGCCAGAAGAGAGCAAAGTGGTATTAAAGCAGCCCCTGCCCGGTGCAGGCACCTGGGAACCCGAACACACAGGAGGTGCGTTTAGGGTTTTTTTGTTTTTTGTTTTTTAAAGGAATGAAATGTGAAACACTGCAATCCTCATGAGAAAAATCTGAAGGGAATAAAAATTAATGGGTGAAAAAAACTCATCAGTGAAAGCATTGGAGAAATCATTACTCAGATTTGGGTTGACAACACTTGGTGGAGAATTCTTCTCTTTCTGTTTTAAGCAAATATATAAATTGAGTGTCTATTCAATAGATCAATCAGAACTGCCAGGACCAAAAATACTTGAATGATTTGAGAAAAGGTAGTATATAAAGTTCAGAGAAAGAAAGAACATTTTCCACTTTACTCAGTGGAAAGTAATTGAAAACTCAAAACTTGACATATAAATCCCTGTGTGTTCCACGTTTATGTGCTACCTTTTTAGAAAGGCAATTAACTTCCTCTCAAAGGAATGTCATACTTTAACATTCTAGCCCAGCCAACTTGTGAAATGTAATCATTTTTGTGGCTGCGAGTTCTTTAATTCCATTATCAGTTGGTATCTTGATTGGAAATTGTTTATTTTGAAGGGATCTCCAGTTTTTAACCAGATTTGGCTTCCCTAATTAGTGGACAATACTTTATTCCCTACAGATTTCTGTACCAGCAAGCTATAGATGCCTCCTCTTTGTCTTTAATTGTGTTGTGGCCTCTGTGATATTGATTGTGTTTCATGTTACTTGCTATGTGGAAAGCTAGATAATACAGCATGTGGAGATAATCGCCAAAAAAGTAACAGATTTGCGTGCATGGCAGCTGTCCATGCTTGGATTGCAACAACACAGGCTGCTAGCTTGATGTTTTCAAATTCAGCTTTACAGGAAACCATAAATTATTCAACACCCAGCTGATGGTTATTTATAACTAAAAAATAAATTAGCATGCAGCACCTTTTGATCACACAGAAGTTTCAAGCATTATCCACTGGAACGGGCTTAATGGTTCCTATGACATGTAAACTTGAACCTGGACTTTTGCTTCACATTTAAATGGAATCATTCCTGCTCTAACCCATTCTAAATTTGTCTAGTAAAACTGTGTTTCTCAAAGTGTGGACCCTGGAACCCTTTACCTAAGAACCACCTAAATTCTTTGAGAAAAATTTAGACTTTTGAATCTATCAAAATACAACTGAATTTGTTCTCAGTGTAGGGTTCCCAGAAATGTACAGTTTACCATGTTCTGTCTATTTCATAAACATCTGCAGTGCCTTTCTGAACTTTTATGGTAGGGAGAGTGAATTAGAACTCAAACAACATAAAAACTTGAATGACGAGAGAGCTTCTCTAGGGAGAATGTAATTCCATTCAAGCAGGATATGCTGGAGTTTTACATGCTTTATTTCATGGCTTATCTTTGTTACTCTTGGATTTGGAATGCTGTCATGGTCATTAATAAACATCATAAGAATCAGTGTAAAAATCAGAGTTTGGCTTCAGGCATTATATTCCTGAAACCTACCTGATTTTCCTAAGAAAGAAATGCTTAAATTATAGGAAATATACGTTTACTTTGCCAAATATCATAACTTCCAAGATAGTCACATGGCCATGCTCAGGAGAAAATTGTGGTTTGGGGAATTTCCTGTCATATTCTATACTTGATCAGATGACATTAATAAATCAATCAGTTGTACACAAGGCAAATTTTAACTATAGAAAGGAAATGTATATGTATTTCCTTTCTGAAATGTCTTATTTTAACATTATTTCACTATTCTAATCCCAAGACTTTCAAAAAATTAAATGCAAAATACAAAATTTCATATTGGTAATTTTAGTCCCCAAAATTTCTTTCCTAATTATCTTTCACTGTTCTATGCAATATTCTACTTTATTTGATGTTGAATTATTCCTTTGAGTAAGCCAGAGGAAGCCTTATTCTTAGGCAGCTTTCATTTTTCAAAAAAAAAAAATCAGAAACTTACTTGCATAAATGTCTTACCTAGCCTAATTCACGTGTATTCCTCAGGATATGAGCGAGGAGAGTAGGTTTGATGGATAACCTTCCACTGTTTCTCTGAAGCCCTTTCTTTACTCCAGGCAAAGTTGAAAATGGGCCCTAATGGTCTAGGGGAATTAATTGTCTCTCTAAGTGCCTAATTGCTCAAAAACATTCTATTAGCTGCAAAGAAGAAAGTATTTTTTATATGAGATTTTTACTAAAATGAAAATGTAAGGCTTTTGTGTTAACATTAGAGGCCATAGTCATATCAGAAATCTTCAAGACATGCTTCCAATTTTCCAAAGAAGAAACTGAAGCCAAAGTAAGTTAACCTATTTAAATGAGGTCATAGAGTGTAAACTTAAAACTTGAATTTTATGACTTCAAATGTGCACCTTCCAGGTCCTTGCATTTCAGTAGAGTTGTGCTCAGTCAAATAGAAATTGATTTGATCTCCCGCCTCAAAGATAGTTCTGGACCCTCACAGGATAAGAGCTGGAGACTTTCGCTCAGAACCATGTTCTTTTGTATCCGTAAGAACAACCTCAAACAGGGATGCTCTCAACAGTACTTTCAATTGCATTGAACTGCCCGTATGTTGGAACTGTAATAATATGATGAATCCCATCCATTGGTCAGTTACAATCCTCATTCCACAGCCTAAGAATGTAAAGTAATACTCAGAGAATAGTAATGATACAAAGGTATCAAGCAACTACAGAGTAAATGGTACAGTTAGGATTCAGAGCCTGACGGTCAGGCACCAGGCTTTGGATTTTGAGAGCTCAATGGTGTTTAATGGATCAGATCAAAAATCTGGATGTGGGGGCTGGAGATTTAGCTCAGAGGCATAAGCGCCTGCCTTGCAAGCAGGCAGTCGTGAGTTCGATCCCTGGTACCGATAAAAATGAAAAAGACAAAAAGAAAAAAAAAAAAAAAAAAGACTACATTAGCAGTGAGAATCCAGATTTAGCCTCAAAATAGGCACCATTCCTGAATTCTGAGCCGAGTTTTTCAGAGAGCCTCCGTAGCTGCTGATATCTGTCCGGTGTTCTCCCGGAAGTCGACATGCTGGGTATCAGTGGGTATTAAGCAGCATAAAGAGCTCAATAGAATGACGTCTTCCAGCTTCCATACCTGAGGAAGTCCTTCACATTCTTCAAAGCAAGATGGTTAAGTCTTTTGTTTTCATTGCATTTCTAAGAGTACAAATATCTGCACACACAGCGTAGCATCCCCCAAGCGATTCTGCATTTTCCCAAAATAAAAATCTGTGAACCACTTCAGGGGTATAATATAACAGACAGACTCCATCCAAGCTCTGGTGCCAACTGCCAGGCCTTGAATCTCAACTGTACCATTTACTCTATAGTTGCTTGGCACATTTGTATTATTATTCTCTGAGTTTCACTTTAAATGTTTAGGCTATTAACTGAAGGTTGTAACTGTCCAGTAGGGTTTAAAGGAGAGTTAAATGCAATTACACCTGAATACTATTTTGAATGATGTTTGGCACATAGAAAGAATTTAATAAATGTGTAACACCAACAGTAATTACAGTTATTATTGTTACTTAATGTCATGTTGGATTGAGATTCTCAAAAACTAAATGCCAATCTGTAATATATAATACTTTATCTTAAGCATCATTCATGAGAGAATTTTCTTGCAGTATATTACTGAGTTGAAAAAGTGTTTGGCAGTGTTCTATCAGATGAGAATTTGTAGCTCTTTGAATCTCCGATCACTGACTTACCTTGTTACATGGCAAATGATACATGATATATAGTGATACATAGTGAAGATATTCCACTTGAGAAACAAGGAAGTAAATGTACTCCTTTCTGTACTGAACATAATGTATTTGATACTATTAGTAATTTAGTATCAATACTGAGATAACATTAATAAAATAGCAATAAAATCTAAGCTGTCTTTTACTAGATACATCCTTGAAGCTAGACTTATTGAAAAATCAATAAAAAAATTACAGATAGCTATTCGAGCTGGCAGGTGTCATTGCATGACTGTGTACCAGCATATGGAAGGCTGATTCAGCATAGATTGTTAACCTCTGGATTTCATAAAATATATTTGCATTTGAGGGATACTTCTGATTAGGTAAGAGGACTCATAAGGTCTTTAATTATTCTTATGATACACTGAGTTCTTCATTAATTCCTAAGAACAACTATTGCTTAATTTCCCTCATATGACATATTTCAGGCATATGCTTACCTCTCAAAATCTTACAGAGTTCCAAAAGAAAGATAATTGGCTGAGTTTTCATCTCTGGCAAAGAGAATAATAAAAAGAAAAAAACAAATAGCACAAGGCTAAATTTTCATCTCCAAAGAAGTGAATAATAATAATAAACAGATAGACGGCTCATACTTTGAACTAAATGTTTAGATGCATTAACTCATTTAACTCTCACAACACCCCTATTTATAAATCCATATTAGAGAAGGAGATATTGAGACATGTTAACTCTCACCCCCAAAGTGCCACACCTTAAAGGACCAAGACTCAAAGCCAGCCAAGCTCCTTCCTAAAGCTTGACTTTTAATCACTTTGTTGTTCTGCATGTCACAAAAATATAAATTAGTCAGTTAGAGAGGAAGGTTAATCTCTCCTGTCTCCCAAGCATCTCTGTCTACAACTGTAACAACTACATGTGTGGATCACCTCTGGTGGTTCATTCAGAATGCATATCCAGCTTGAGCAATATAAAAATTTCAACTGAGTATAGTGATCCCAGCCCTTGGGAGGTTGAGGCAGGAGGATCTGCATGAGTTCAAGTCGAGCCTGAACTACACAGAGAGACCTTGTCTAGAAAGAAAACAAACAGATGAGAGAGAGAGAGAGAGAAAAAAGGTAAAAGAAAAGGAAGAAATTGCCATTTGCAATTAAAGAGACTTTAATTTTGCTAATGCTTTTGTGCCCCTAGTTATATCTTACCTCTTTCTCACTTTTCCATTAAATGAAACTTTATAATTGATTCTTATTTCCTTTCTGACTTTGATATAAATATTTTTCTTGTA